TTCAGAGTGGCCAGTATGTTCCCAGATGAGGAAGAAGAAATCAGCGAAGAGTCCCGTTTACTGCTGCCAAATTCGAATCGCATAAGCTGCTCCAGTCATATGCTCGAAAAGTTGGCCAGAATTGATTCAAAGAAAGCCGAAACCGATGACGAAGTTTATGGCGCAGCACATAAACGAGTGTTCGATAAACTGCAACAAATTTGGGATTTGAAAGCATCTCGCCTGTCTTCCGAGATTTTTCATGGCATCACGGGCAAGAAGCTAATTGGGCCACACCGAATTCGTTGGCTAAAAACGTTTGATGCGGTAATTATTCGTGTTTTTTTTTTGAATTATTGCATTATGGATTCAACATTCAACTGAAATGTTGATGTTGACAATTCGCTATTGTTGTTCATAGTTCATTCAACATTCATTGCTCATTTCATATCTTCAATCTTCTTTCATTTTTTTTTCAAAGGTGAAATACATTCTGTCCATTCCGCACGACAGATTGGAAGATGCTTGCCGACAGCTCAACACATGCCATTTGGATGAAGACGATTACATGTTCCTCGAAGAATATGTGGAGTGTATTACGCCAGTCGCAATCGCATTAAAGAGCTTGGAAGGCAATAAATACACGTTTGGAATTTACCTTCCAATTCTCGTCGGTTTACGTACCACATTTGCCCGTTTGCAGGTACCGTTTTGACTTACGGTTTTTATTTTCTATTGTTCAAACCAAAAATCAATTTTGGAATTAGGAACTCTGAGTATTGCAGTAGTTGATCATTGTTATTCATTTGTTGAAACACTTCATTGCAGGCGAAAAACCTCATGCATTGTGCGCCATTGGTGACAGCATTACAAACGGGTTTTGAGAATCGTTTGGCCAATATAATGGATATTTTCGATATCAAGGGAAAAAGTGCGCCACTGTACTTGGCTATGTGTTCGAATCCATTGTTTAAACTGAATTATTTGGGCTTTGAACAAAGAATTCCGTCGCATACCGTCAGAAAAATGCGCGATTTACTGGTTGCGGCAGCGAAAGAAATTATCCTAACTCGAAATGATTCGGCAGCCGATGGTTTTCGGGCTGAAGAAGTTGCGGTAGACGACACGAACACAGTCACAGCCTTAACTAACGTATCAGGTAAGCTGTGAAATAATTGTAAAAATCGAAACATCGATTATCGAATATCTCAAAACCAATCGTTTGTCGATTGTCGTTCATCATTAATTCAAAAAATTTAGTTGATTTTGTTATTAATTTCATTTTCGATTTTCGATCGCAGATATCACCGGAATAGCATCGTTGGATCAACTACTCGTCCCTTGTGATGTGACGACATCCATCAATGTTGCGGTGCAAAACGATTTTGCGTTATTGAACGAAATTGACAGATACCTTTCGTCGCCGACAACGGCCACCATTGAGAATGGTCTGAAGTTGTTTCCTCACGTACGTGCCGTTTACGAAAAATACAACTGCATACGTTCAACGGAAGCGATATGTGAAAGATTGTTCAGTTATGCTGGTAAGTGTTTCCAATCCATTTGTGACATGTGATTTGTATTTATGTCGTCTGTGAAAGTCGTTTTTTCTTTATATATTCGGTTTCGGTTTCTGTTTGGGTTTTTTTAATTGCAATCTTTTTTCCCCCACAGTACACAATGTGTCCGCAATACGGAACGACTGTGCGTTTCATTCATTTTCTGTGAGAGAAAGAGAAACAGATACAGGTTTGGTTGGGTTTGGTTTGGTTTGGTTTGGGTTGGAATTATGAATTTGGATCGATCCGATGTGATGTGATGTGATGTGATATGATGGTGCATGGTGATGACCGCCCACCGCCGATCGTGATTGGTAATAATGAACTATTATTTTTTGTTTCGTTTTGTTCTGTTTTTGTCTTTGTTTCTTTGTCCTCTCTCTCTCTCTCTTCAAATAACTCCAGTTAGTAACATTCCTCTGTTTTTATTCTTCTTCTACTACAGGAATGATTTTGACGGACAAACGATTGCGGCTGACAGCCGAATTCTTCGAAGATTTGTTGATACTTCATATGAACGCCGATTGGATCTGATCTGAGACTAGACGATGGACGTTAATATTTGAAAATCCAGACAATTTTTGCACCATTTTTCGTTTTTTTTCTATTTTCTTCAAATTGATATTTCTTCATTGAATTTTTTTTCTTCTTTATTTCAATCTCTATTTCCATTTGACTTTCATGTAAAATATCACGTTTATGTGAATTGTGAATTTATTATTTGTTATTATCAATATCAATTGTCAAGTGTTCTATTTTTCTTCG